GTGATCATGTGACCCTGGGATGCTATGATCATCAAAAAGGTACCCTGTTTTCTAAGCACTCAAATTGCTCTCCTATGACTGTATGAATGCTCCAACCCCTGCAACTCCGCTTTGATCAATTGTTGAATGAGGTAGTCAGTAAGCAAGGACTACCTGTATTCAATTTTGATCAAATATTAACTAGGAAACAAAATATGTGTATAAAGCATTTTAAAGAAGATTCAGTTACATAGTTGTAATAAACACAAGCACTAAAAAAGCAACACTCTGTAAGGTATCCACACCTACTTACTCTGCAAGCAAGACCACACCTGCAGCGAGTTTTGGTCACCACATTATAAAAAAGATGTTGAGACTCTAGAAAAAGTACAGAGAAGAGCAACCAGGATGATTAGGGGACTGAAGACTAAAGCATATGAAGAACGGTTACAGGAACGGGGCATGGCTAGTCTAGGGAAGAGAAGGACCAGGGGAGACATGAAAGCAGTGTTCCAATATTTGAGGGGCTGCCACAGAGAAGAAGGGGTCAAGCTATTTTCCAAAGCCCTTGAAGGCCAGACAAGGAATAATGGATGAAAACTGAACAAGGAAAGATTTAACTTGGAAATAAGGAGAAACTTTCTGACAGTGAGAACAATCAACCAATGGAACAGCTTGCCCTTGGAAGTTGTGGGAGTGCCATCACTTGAGACTTTCAAGAAGAGGTTGGACTCCCATCTGTCAGAAATGGTGTAGGGTCTCCTGCTTGACTTACAAGGTCCCTTCCAATTCTGATTATCTGTTATCTGTTATCTGTATCTTTAATGATCATAATTACAGGTAGTCCTCAATTTACAACAGTTCATTTAGTGACCTTCAAAGTTAAAACAGCACTGGAAAAAAGTGACGTATGACCATTTTTCACACAACCTTTTCAGCACCCCCATGGTCCTCTGATCAAAATTCAGACACTTGTCAAATGACTCATATTTATGGTGGTTACAATGTCGGGGTGGGGTGGGGGATCATGTAATCTCCTTTTACAACTTTCTGACAAGCAAAGTCAATGGGTAAGTGAGATTCATTTTACAACTGTGTTACTAACTGAACATCTGCAGTGACTCACTTAACTCTGGCAAGAAAAGTTGTGAAATGGAATAGAACTCTCTTAACAAATGTCTCACTTAGCAACAAAACTTTTGAGTTCAATTGTAATCGTACGTCAGGAATTACCTGTTCTGTAGAAACAAAGAGAAAGAGACATCGTAAGATACTGTCCTGAAAAATTAGCAATAAGCATGGAGATAATAGTTCTGTATCAGCAGGATTTGAAAATAAAAATAACAAATAGGCTAGTTCAAAGGAAGTGTGAGTAATTAGCATATGTGATGAAAGCAAAAGGGTCAAATTATAGAGTAAATACCAAGTGGATGATTAACATAAATGTAATAGTTTTATGGTCATTTGAATGCAGTTGGGAATATAAATTACACAAAGTGCAGGGTCTGACTTCATAATTAAAACAATGCCTATTTAAGGGGGCCATATTAAATGTTTGAGTGGCATTAATTTTTATTGATGCTACTACTTCTACAATAACATACTTTAGTGGGATAACAAAATACGAATGTGTCCCAGTGTAATTTTTTAGGAAGTAGAACTTCTGTGTCGAGCTTCTTTTACTGAGAAATAATGTGCTCCTTGTACATTATACAGTGTACAAGGTACACAAGGTAAAATCTTGTGATAGCTTTAGATGTATGCTGTATGAGTATTCCGTGATAAGAAAACATGGAGTGACAAGGAAACAAGATATTTGTGGGTGCACACCTGCTCAATATGTGCCCAATTTATTTCCCATTTGTGAATTTTACAACAGCGCTGGGCAGAAATTAAAATATTAGTTTTCTGATAATTTATTGATAACTTTGCTGTGAAAAGAATAGAGCTAGTGCCTAAGACACAAACTGGCAACAAATGCAGCCTGGTATGGCACTGCTGTGGCAGCTTTTGCTTTTTCTACTAGTAGAAGTTTCTGTTTGGAAGATTCTCCTGGTTGCCCAGAATATAATTTCTACGAGGAGAAAGAAGCATTTCCTATAGAACACTTAAAATTCCAGTACCAGTAACATCACCAATTGCCAGTTTGTTTTCGTAGTTCAGGATAGAATCTGTTCACTACATGTATTAAAATTTTTCTTTCTATTTCTCAGAATAATGTAGTGTGAACAATGGGAGTGTTTTGAATGTGTAAATAACCTTCAGCCCTCTACTTTCATGTCTTTGACAATGGAAGATTAACTAGATTTAAGTCATTTGCCATAGGTATTTTTCCTTTTTGCATCAGATAAAACAAGTCAGCAACTCTTAATTTTATATTGTTCCCTCATTGTTTCATGGTAGGTACTTTGATGTGTTTTATTTTTCGTGCATTGAATTGATAAAAAGCTAGTGTGAAAAAATTTCCATAAACTATTTGGAACATTCAGTTTTCCAACTTACGTAAGTACAGAGGAAAAGGTGTGCACACCCTGGAAGAATTTGGCACCAGATTAGGATTACCTACTTCCTTTACCTTTAAAAAATTGCTAATTGGGTTAACCTTGATATGATTGTGATTTTACTTTTTACAAGGTTACCCTTGACATAAAGTCCTTTTAAAACATATTTTAGCCTATCAAGAATGTTCATAACTTTTTTTTCCCTGATGGGAAGGCTTATTAAGCTTGGTATCCTGTGAATGAATTGGAACATTTAATTGAATAATGGATTTTTCCATAAAAAGTAATGTTTTTAGTGTTATTTCACTTTCTTTCAGAGATTCAACTCCAACATTTATATGTTTGATACTTTGAAGTAAGATAGCAAATCCAAATTGAAGCTAATTTATACTAAATAGCAAGGATGGGCAGCTATATGCTAGGGAAAGTACAAGGACTGTTAATTCAGTGTTGTGGCCTTCCCAAAGCCATTTTAACAGGCCTCAGAATGTAACAGAAAAATAATAATTGCAAAGAAGTATTAATGCTTTTTAATTTTAATTGCATTTAAATTTAAATAATAAGGTTGTCTGATAATTCATTTACCAGTCAGATGCCCTCAATCTAGAAAATGTGAGCCTTTGCATTACAACTTTTAAAAAAGAGAAATACTATTATTACTATTATTTCTAGCATTTTAGCAACAAATGTCTATTCAAGAAGGTGAGGCAAAGATAGATTTCTCAAAGTTGAATCTGATACAAAAAGAATGTGTTAAACCAGAGGTGATATTCAGGAAGTTCTGACCAGTTCTGGAGAACTGGTAGCAGAAATTTTGAGTAGCTTGGAGAATCAACAAATACCACCTCAGACTGGCCCCGCCCCCATCTATTCTCTGCCTCCTGAGTCCCAGCTGATTGGTTGGGTCTTGTTTTGTTGCCCTTGCACAGGAGAACAGAACTGTAAAGCAGGTTAGTGGGGTGGGGTGGGGAGGGAATGGGATTTTGCAGTAACCTTTCCCCAGGAGTGGGGAGAGAATGGAAATTTTACAGTATCCTTCCCCTGTCATGTCCACTAAACCACACCATGCCCACCAAGCCACGCCCTCAGAACTGGTAGTAAAAAAATTTGAATCCCACCACTGTGTTAAACCCCAGAGAGTGTGTGCTACAGGAAGAATTTAAATTCTGTAAGTTGATATTATCCGAGTGCCCGTCAGAAATGTACAAAAGGAGGTATTCATAATGTATTGTTCTAAGGTAGTTAAATGCAGTCTGTTTATTATTTCTGTTTAATCAAACTATATCAACTATATTAAGACCACAAATAGATTTCTAATACTTGTATTCTTACTTGCCCAGTCTAACTTCTGGAATGACCTAATAATACATATCCTGTTCATTTGTTATGGAGTGTTTTCAGTGAATGCATTCAGGTTGTTGGTTCTGTCTTCATCTGATTGGCTTCCTATTTTCTCTCACTTGCCAATTTCTTCTGACGAATTGGTTCCCTTGATGTCCTAGTAGATGGTCTCATATCATGGTTGGTTAATAAATATTCTACAACATGTACCCACCTCAATAGCAGACAGTTTCCAAGAACTACAGTACAGTAGCTTGCCAGTTGCTTCCTGTGCTTATTTTTTGCAAATTCTACAGACTTTTTGTTAATTTGTATTTAAACTACATCATCTGACTTGCTCGCTTTTACAGCTTTTAAGCTCAATAAATTTTGTTCTGGCTAAATCAATCTTTTAATACCAACATTTGAACATTTGAAAAATTCACGTTGTTTTCTAAATAATAGGGACTATTCTCTAAACCTTGGGAGAGTGAAGCTTTCCTGGGAACTGAATGGTTGGAGATTTAAATGAACCAGAATCAAATGGATCATGCATTTTAAAAATATATACGTAACCCACAACAATCCAAGAGTTGAATACCAGGGTTACTCAACTGGTCCAAGAGTCAAGGAGCAGATTTTAGGTTGGCATGTGGTTTTCAGTGAAGGATAGATCACTGCCAGCTGCTTTTAAGTAGAACAGGTACAGATATGGCTTAGTTTGGGGTGTTGGAACCTTTGTTAGGTATAATGCCTAACCACATTCTGATGGATGACTTGATCCAAATGTAAATATTAAATAAGAATGAGGAGAGGACATGAGCAGGGTGCTTTTGTTTGGCTCTCTGAAGCTGTCGACGCATCCTGGTACTCTGGCAGGTCCCTAATTGCCTGATTCCTCCTGTACCGGCTGAGTCCATCCCAAGGGGCAATTTTCTGCTAACTCATGAAGCTGGTGGCCTGCTGAATTTGGTTGCTCAGGTTCAGCCTCTGACTCGATTTTATAAATTATTTAACACTTTCCATAGGTAGCTTCCGTAAATGTGTTCCACTTTTCCTCAGCAATGCTAAAAAGACTGTGTTGACAAACCCTACCTTTTATGGCAGAAACTGTGGTGCTTCCTCTTTTGCACGCCATGATGAACTTGAGTTTTGCTTCTTGTCTGAATTTATGGTCATAATATCCTTATGTCACAACAGGTGGAAGTCAATGGGAGAAAATGTTGTGTGACTGGTGAATGGAATTTGGCTTCAGCTGTGTTACCTCTTCAAGTGGATGATGTTCATAGAACTGTCCAGGTAAAAATATTTCGTTACTATTGTTTTTTAAAATCACTACACCATTTTAAATCTGGGAAGTTAGTGTTATAAATCTGGGAAGTTAGATTATAATTGCACATGTTTAATTTGTATCTGGCAATGAAGAAATGCAAAGCTGTAAAACACCCTTTCCAAGGCCTTCATACCTTCAAATGGTCATTAAATGACCAATCAAGGACTACTTGTAGTTATAAGAATTTAGTTATCTTAAAGAGCAACTCGATGTAAAACACATTGTAATAGTTGAAATGGCTAATGCAGGAGTAACCATGAATGGGGCCTCAGTCTTGCTAGAGGTTGAGCCTTACTTAGCCTGTTACTTTCCCTCCAGACTCTCCTAGTATCTAGATATTAAACTTTGGTGACATTGCTTAGTTGGTCTAAAATTGAGATATGTAACTGGCATCATCAATGTAAGATAATACTTATCCACATTCTGATGACTTCATGCAAACAGTTTCATGTAGATATTAAATAAGAATTAGGAGAGAATCAAATCCTGAGATCCCCTACAAAGGTTAGATCTAGATCTTTCCTTCCATGAACACCAGCTGAAAATATCTCTGAAGGAAGGGAGAAAACTACTGTGAACCCAGCTTCTAATTCCCTGACATGGTTCAGGAGGAAATCCAACACGCTGTCCCAATCAGTGGTATTGAAGGTTACCAAGAAATTAAGTAGTTCAATGACAAATATCCATCCTGGATATATCATAGGTCATCAACAAACATGTTCAAGGCTGTCTCAATACTATGTCCAGTATTGAAACCTAGAGACAAGATGAAATTAATAATTTATTTTAAATTTCAGAATTGGAGAACGTGTAGCATGTATATCTCTTTTTACCTTGTTACCTTTACCCACTCTCCTGTACACTGTTAGAGCTTTTTATACATTCCTTGTACAAAGATAAACTTCAGGAAATCTAAGAAACAATAACAAAAGAAACATCCTGATGAGATTTTGCCAACCAAGGCAATCAGAGAGACAATGCCAGACACAATGATTCACAAGATTTCTTGAGGTGTAAGTACTTAACAACTGGAAAGATTTTAAACGATGTACATATGTGATTAGGCATTATAGGAGGAAAACTGCATTGGTCTACTGTGACAGAGAATCAGGAGGTGCTTCTAACAATGTTTTTAAAGCATATGTTTTGTGAGCTGCAGCTTATTTTATCAAATGGCCATGAATAAAACAAGGAGATCTTTCTTCCTAAGCGAAAGCATAAAAGTAACATTAAAAAAATCGTTTTAATCATCTTCATTTTAATGCTGTTTTTTCTATTTGTGAGCAATTAGTTAAGCTTTAGAGTAGTTTATGTATGGCTAGTTTTACCCAAGCATCAGAGTTCTTCTCGCTTTGAATCGGGCCAAGGAGAATGTCCTCCCAACTGTATATTTAGGGATTGAGATTGCCTATCCATATGGCAGGTCCATAGATGGCAGGGGTGGGCTTCAAAAATTGCAGCAATGGGTTTGCTGCCCGGTTGCTGGGTGGGTGTGGCCATGGTGGGCATGGCCAAGTTGGCCTCCTGCACCACGGCGGCGGCGGGGGGGGCATTTTTGCCTTCCCTAGGCTCCGGAGGCTTTTCTCAAGCCTCTGGGAGGGCAAAAACAGCCTCCCCAAGCTCTGGATGCCCTCTGGAGGCCAGAAACAAGTCTGTTTCTGGACTTCTAGAACTTCTGGGAGGCCCGTTTTCCCCCTTCCCCGAGCCTCCGCGTGGCCCTGCACTTACCTTGCCCCCAAAATGGGCTGCATGGAGACTCTTGGAGGGGTGGGTGGAGCGGGACGGGGTCAGCCAAGGGTGGAATTTGGCAGTTCACTGAACCAGCCATAATGTTAGCAATAGGTCCGCTTGAATCAGGGCAAACCCGTAGCAGCCCACCCCGATAGAGGGTGAAGGAGCTAGTTGGAAATGTATTCTTGAGAAGAAATATCAAATCCAAATGAATATCTTTAAGCCATTGCCTTAAAGCTGCTTGAGTGCTCATATTCAACTGCACAGAGCTGTGTTAAAGAATATCAAAGGATCTCCAATTTTTAGACCAGAATGAAACAACATTATTGTTAAGGATTTGAGGTGTCAGACATATAGGGTTAAGAAATATTCTAACTCTGCATATAAAATGTGCAACCAAATGTTGGCCAGAATTCTGCTTCAGAGTGGATTCTGCTCAGAAAGGAGCTTGGAGTATGTACCTAAGAGGTTTTGTCTGAACATGTTCTAAAGGAAAGAAAAAGCTGTATGGGTAAACTGGACTCTGAATAACAGCTCTGCTCTAACTTTGGCTAAGTATAGTTGGCGTGCAGCAGAGATAAATAAGGCCCCTTTAGTTTAGGATGATTGCAGTGCTGCTGTAGCTCTCTGGGCTTTTGTGCTGCATATTCCCTGGACATTTCACATGAAAGGACTATACCTGGGGATTTAAATGATTTAACCTGCTCAATGGAATAATTATTTAACTTCCAAATATGCCCTTTAGCTGTTCGGCAAATACTGCCCACTTGGGCAGTATTCTAAGTTCTAAGATGATGTAGCTGCAGAATTAAATATGACAATTCACAATCTCTGCTCCTCTCTTTGTGTCAGTGTCCAAAGTAAAATTATAACTGCCTTATCTCATTTTTGTCTAATGTTCAATTGTTCTACCTACAATAACTTGCACAATGTACAGATAACAACTGCAACACAATGAGTTTTTAAAACATTTGGTATAATATGAAACTTGTGGAAAAAAGGGTACTTTTCTGAAGTTCTAGAAAAATGCACTTTGAAAAGTGCATTGAGAGAGTGTAAGACACTTTCAGAATATTCTTCCCAAAAATATTGAGCAACTTCGCATAAAGGAGGCTGGCTGGAAAAACTATTTAAATCTAAGCATTTACCTGTTTTTATACTGTAAGACCACTGAACCTATTGATTTCATACACTCCATATTGGAAATTAAACCCAAATTTGCTTCTTACTGAAAAATTGTGTAGCATATTGTGTTGCAGCGAGAAGGGTGGCAAACAACATTTAATAAATAATAAATCACATTGTCTATCTAGTTTGTTAAAGGAGGAGAGGTTGTCTCAGTTGACCCTGACCTAATGGAGTGCCAGAGAGCTTGGTCTTGTCTCCCTGTTTTTTAACATCTAGACCAGGGGTCTCCAACCTTGGCCACTTTAAGCCTGGAGGACTTCAACTCCCAGAATTCTT